GGCGGGCTGGGGCCGCCGAGAGGACGCTGGTGGCAACGAGACAAGGGTCACGGTTGTTTGGCAAAGGGAGCGCTTGGCTCCGCTACCCGGACGGGGGATGGCGGGGTTCGCTGCTAGGAGCGATTATCTTAGTGGGGAGAGATGCTGCCAGGGCCTGATAAATGAGTTTTTTTTCTCTCCGAGCTCTTGTTGGTGAGCAGGGAACTGGATCTAAGTGAGTTTGGTTATCGAGGCGGTCGGCAGTGAGTCATAACTTGGTTGGATTCATCGTTCCCCGGCCCCCGCCTCCCCAAGCAAGGTTGTGTGCGTGCTTCTGCGTTTTTGAAGGGCTGGCTGCGATGGCTGGCCTTTCGGGGCCCGCCGAGAAGCGGGGGAGGAAGCCGTGCATAAGCCATTAATACTGTGTTATTCCAAGAGAAGCTTTACATAGACTGCGTGTACGCTTGTAAGCAAACTTTCTGGGAAGGCTTTGCCCCTGTCTTCAGAGGGTGCTGATGCTGACAAACTGACTGTCTTTTCCACCTGTTAGCGAGTGACCATCAACATCCTTTCAATCCCAGTTCTCACTATTGAGTTTATGAAACTACTCCTTGAGGTATTTTCTGTATTTAGTTCCTCATACTTTCCTAAGTATCTGTAGAAAACAAACTCTTATAAGATTACATGAGCTTACTTTAGAGCCAGTGATAGCTAACTATCCTGATTATTGTGTTGCCACTGCATTTCTTGCTGACTTGAATAAAATGTTTATTTACAGTGTCCGTGGGGAGCCCCTAACACAACATCAATATCATGTTCCCTTGCTGATGTAATGAGTGAACAGCTGGCGAAAGAGCTGCAGCTGGAAGAAGAAAATGCTGCTTTTCCTGAAGTGGTTGCGTAAGTTTAAATCCTGGATTAGTGATCTGCGCAGTTGTGAAGCCATCTTCTCTCTCTTGTGCGTTTTCTTAGCGTGCTTCAGGTGTAGTGATATAGTAAATGCTCTGCCTGTTATCTCCTAACTCTGCTTCTTCAGGTTTTTTTCAGTGAAGATGGCTTCCCCAGTTAAAACTTCCTTAGAGTCTCTTCTCTGTCACCCTTCCTTCTTTTTTGGTATTTTCTCTGGATTGTTTTGAGTGTTTCAAGCCAGTCCATAAGCTATGCTTTGAGAAACGTTGTCAGAAATGTTTTTTTTTTCTTCCCTTTTAAAGACTGTTGTTAATAGTATTAGCTCTTGTTGACAGTGTTGTTTTGAGAACTGTCAGGTGTATCACCTGTATCCTCCTGATACTTGGAAGCTCTAAACAGAGGCCAAGAGCTTCCTAGTTCTAAACTCGTACAAATTTTGCCTGTGGTCTTTTCTGCGAAGCAGAGCAAAGCAACACAGTTTGCTGAGGTTTTTTTTAATTTTTATTTATAAAAATATATAAATACATATGTACGTATACACACATTATACGTGTGTACCTTCTTTCTCTTTCGTGAAGCCATCTGAAAAATAGAGCCTAATGCTTCTTAGAGGGTGGTAAACAAGTAAAAGTTTAAGCAATATTTGCAGTGTAAAGGAGTGGCGAAGAGAAATGAAGTCATGCTCTTAATATTTAGTGTTGGTTTAGACGGGGGACGGACAGTTGAGATCCATTAGTTTCTACGCAGCTCTGCCTCAAGTCTTTTGTACAGAGTGATGAAATGGTATGAAACGGCGTTTGTGTTGAGATTACTGCTTAATTTTTAAATGTCTGTTTTCATTTTGCATAGTGCTGCTGAAGGACCGTTTATTACAGGAGAAGATATTGACACTTCTAGTGACCTAATGCTAGCTCAGATGCTGCAGATGGAATTTGACAGGGAATATGATGCACAGCTTCGGCGTGAAGAGAAGAAGATCAATGGAGATAGCAAAGGTACCCTTTTCAGAAGAAATATTATTGTTTTGGAGATATTCTTGGCATTCTGCTTAAGTTGACAGAGCTGTGAGGAAGGAGCAAATCCCTGATAATCACAGGCATGCTTATGTGTTTTGTTTCTCAAGTCTCCATATCCTTTGAAAATTATCGGAAGGTGCATCCCTATGACAGTGACAGCTCGGAGGATGAGGTTGATTGGCAGGATACCCGTCATGATCCTTACAGAGCAGGTATGCGGCGGTTTTAAACAGTACAATTGCTTCGGTTAATAGACCTAAGAATATGCCGTAGTTAAATTAAGTTTTTTGAATGCAAGGAGACATACCAGTTGTGTGTGAAATCAGGTCACCTAGTTGGGAGGTGATGTGCAGGAAGCTGGGTGGGTAACTTCAGGCTTCTGCCTGCCAGTGTATTGGCTTTGGTGGCTGAATCTGGCGAAATAACTCTTGTACGTGGAAAGCGGTGTGGGATGTGCGTATCTGTCATCTGCATCTGCACCTGGTATTGAATAGTCCTGTCTAACACCCCAAAAGGGTGTCCTGACAGCCCAGAGAAGACGCAGGAGTAAGTCACAGCAAAAAGAAGCTGTCGTGTTTCGGGTAAGAGAAGACTGCATGAAGATCGTACAATTGAAGTATTTTATTCTGTTGAATAAATAAAATTACGTTACTTTTGTGGGCATTGCGGAACCTTTATGAGCATTAGTTATGTTCACTTAGATGTAAAGTTTGATTTATTTTTCTCACTGCTGGCAGATAAACCTACTACTACACCGAGAAAGGGCTTTATAGGGAAAGGAAAAGACATTACTACTAAGCACGATGAAGTGGTATGTGGAAGAAAGAACACTGCTCGCATGGAAAATGTAAGTGAAAACTTGGGGAAACTTTTATTTTCTGTGTAAAACTGGAATGCTGTGATTCAACCGAAGAACTAATGCTTGTCCATCTATGCTACTAGATATGGTGCTGGTTTTGTTGTTGTGTTTTTTTCATCAGGTGAAAGCAACGCAGTGTTTGGGTTAGTTACTCAAATTGACGGTTTGAGTTGTGCAGGTTTTTGTTTTAGAATAGTGACTGTGAATCACACATCTGCACAGAACTATTTTAGCAAAAATAAATGTCAGCAAGTTTGTCACACAAGCAAATAAAACACTGAGGCTGTTTTTGAAAAGCGTAGCTATCGTGTGACTTTTCGGGGTTTTTTAATTCATTTTGCCTGATGAGCCAAGTAACCTATTTTCAGTCAATTGTTTGACTTGCAGCTTTTCAGTCTCCTTGTCCATAGTACATACCTTCTGGTTTCCTTAGTGTAACTGTGGCAACTTCTGCAAATAAGGAAATGCTGCAAGTGCTGTTTCTACAGGATGTTAGGTAATCTCATATCAATTTGGGCAGAACTTCGAGTTCTGAGTTTAGAGCAATAGGTTTTCTAACATAGTGGTGACATCGCACAAAGTGGGTTTCATACAGGTCCTGCTCTACCCCAGGTTCTTGCACATCAGAATGAGAAGTTTCTGTTTGGACCAACTTTTGGCGTCTGCTAGTAACAATGCTTAAATTTCTGTTATTTCTGCTTGTAGTTTGCACCTGAATTCCAAGTTGGGGATGGAATTGGGATGGACTTAAAGCTGTCAAATCAAGTCTTCAATGCCTTAAAGCAACACGCGTACTCTGAGGAACGTCGAAGTGCGAGGCTCCATGAAAAGAAAGAGCACTCCACTGCTGTATGTTTTTAATAAAGTCTGTCTATATACTTCTTATCTTGTGTAACAGCTGAACACTCTTTTGGTAATTCCTTGAAACATTCCATTTTTAGTAAAAAAGTTAAGGGATATGATGTTAACGTTGCTGAAGGAGATGGTATCAGCCAGCTCCTACTAGAAAAAGGCCGTCTCTGAGCTGCGTTACTGTGAGAGCCGTATCAAAATAAGAGCAAGCAGCTTCCATTTTTTTCCTCTTTTTGTCTTTCTAAACTTGTCTGTTAATCAGCCACAATGAATAAACTGCCTAGAAGTTGTTTATAGAAACCATCCAGAGGACTAATCCTCTGCAGTCGAACCATGGGACTCCAAATGTCTGTCTTCATAGCAAGTTTCAGGAAGGTGAGGTGACCAAGTAAGCTCTGACTTAATCATGTGGGAAGTCAGTTGATATGCTTTATAGGTGACTTTAGAGGAGGACCTCTGGTAATGCCTGCTATGGACTACTTAAAATTTGGGTGTTTTGCTTTATTTGGTTGTTATGATATAAAAGGAGTATAATATTTAGGATATTTTGATTCATGATTTTTAGAACTTGTTGAAAACACTGTAGAAAGGGCTCTTGAGCCGCAGTCTGTACTTTATGCAGAATCGGTAAAATACTGTGTGTGCTACACAGCTGATAAGGTGCCTGAGAGTATTAAATCTTAAGATGGCAGTGCTGGAGCAGTTTGGCTTGGCTTCATCTGTTCGTTTGGTTTGGGGTGGGGGTTTTTCCCTATCAATTGAGAGAATGCTCTTGATAACATTATTCTTCCCACCTAGTTGAACACTTGCAGTATATAGGTGCTCTAAACTCACTGTAAAGCAAAGAATTATTTTAATTAATTGAGTATTCATTTCTTGCCTGTAGGAGAAAGCAGTGGATCCTAAAACACGTTTACTTCTGTACAAGATGGTCAATGCTGGGATGCTGGAGACCATCACAGGCTGCATCAGCACAGGAAAAGAATCTGTTGTTTTTCATGCGTATGGAGGAAAGTAAGTTTGTTACTGACAGTAGCTTTAAGTACCAGAGATGGTTTAGAAAGCAGAAACCACAAAAATATTTAAACAATCTGCACTTTTCATTCCGCAGACTTAGCTTGTATTCCTGTAGATGCAGATAGTAATTGAATCTGAAAACTAAACGGTACCAACTATAAAGTAAAATAAACCCTCACCCTCCTCCTTGGAGACCACTTAATGAATGGGGACAAATCCACTATGGCTTTCTGTGGAAAAATATATTAAAAAAAATAAAATAAAAATA